CCTTTTTTCAGCCGGTTCCTGAGAACTCACCGGAGCTGTGGATAAGGCCTGCCTTTAGTGACCTGCTCAACCCAGCACCATCTAGCTCACTGAGCACGTGCTGGCTGCATCAGGACACCCCCAAATGAGCTTTTGCAACTGCTTCCTCAGTGTTTGATTTCAACAGCATGAGTCAATGGAGTCTAACATCATTATGTACTTCAGTTGCACTGGTGGGAGGAAAAAATATGGTCCAGCTCAGCATAGTATTAAGGAGGGTAACTGCTACTGGCAGCAAAGGAGATGGGGACCTTGGGAAGAATTAGGCAATCTAAAGGAATTTTCTGATCTGCATTTTTTTGATTATATATTCCAGGCAACTAGTTTCATACATTAATCTACAAGCCTTTATTTGAGTTTCATAGATTTGTGTTGATTTGTATTTGTGTTTTCATTGATATTTAATTGCCTAGGGAACTGTTTCTGAAGCTGGGCTTATTTGTATTTAGTATTGATATGATGCCATCCCAGTAGGTGTAAATGACACTGTAGAGATAAGTTAAAACAACAGGTCTTTTATCTCAAAAGCTTAAAAACAGCAAGCTAGCTCCACTTTACTGCCCTGACTTGATGGGGGCAGATTTTGGCCTTAGATTAGACAAAACATAGTTCAGAACAGATAGATGTACAGGAAGGACTGAAGCAGTTCCCAGTCACCTTTTAAATTCATATCTGTTTAGTAGAAAACTTCTTGTTCTAGGTTAGTACACGACATAACATAAAGCTTGGTCTTTGCCTGTTATTTATTTTTAGTGGATGATAGGAAAAGTGAGACTAGCAGACATCATGCAACCTGACAACACAAATAAGCCCCTGAGAAAATGAAAGTTGGCAAAGAAAGAGCCCACGTACAGCATAAACACAAATTCTTCAAGAAAATGCAGGGTTTTTTAAGGACAGGGGTTTTAACACCTTGAACTCACAGACTTACTTTCATTTATTGTGGGTTAGAGAATTTTGCAGAAAGTCTCTGGCATAGCCTGTTAATTGCTTTGGAAGAAGCAGATTTATACTAGAGACATCATAAAGCCAGACAGCAGAATGATGATTTATCATTTCACAGCAACAACCAAAATCAGATTTCATTAATATAAATCACTGGGGGGTTTATTTACTATTATTTCTAATAACATTTATTAGAAATAATGTTCCAGTTTAAAGAATAATGTAATTCACAGACTGCCACATGGATGAAGTTACAAACCTTTTCAAAACCTCTCATGCAAAATCTGCACAAGTTCAGTGACAGTTAATGGTTCAGGAGGATCCCCAAAGGAGCATGCCAGAATTCTCCTGCACAAGACAGTAGAAAGTGGGACTGCACAGCTGAAAGCTGTAGGAAAACAGAAGCTGAGTCGTCCTCTATGTATGAGGGCTGCGGCTACAGAAAACCCATGTTTCCTTTGCTCTTGCAGGTCCCAATTCCCATGTCAAGTCATGTTGTGCTCAGGGCAGGATCTGAGAATTAAAGTCAGTAAGTCACCCTTTCGTTTGACTTTTTATTTTCAGGCTGCTGTGAAAGTGTGTAATTTAGAGCAAGGAGTTTGGGATATGGTTCAGACTACCTTTTGTTAAAACTTTCAGTAGTGGTGGAACAGCCTCACTAGAAATAACATCACAAGTTTTTAGTAAGTGTTATTAAATGCCAAAGGATGAGAATTTTAGCCACAAAACCACTTGATGTTTGAACTGAGATTCTCTCTCAAGCTGTTGCATACAACTAAACCAAGGGATGGTCTTTACAAGGGGAGAAGCAATTTAGGACATTAAAATGTCACTTTAGCTGTCAGACATTTCTGTCTGGCCCCCTATGCAATACACCATTTGCACTTTCCATACTATAATAAATTATGTATACTGAGGTATTTAATAGGTAATCATATAGGAGAAAATATTTACTCCAGCAGCAGACTGGCAGCTTTCTCAGCAAGTTTCACAGACACAGAAATGGGTGGGAATGAAAGAGAGCATTTTGCTTTCATGTAAAAGGTCATCAAATGCTCTGTTCAGTATCTCACTGGGAGTTTATTCAGCATCACCCTTTGTCCCTGAAACTATCGTATCCCAAATCAGCAGTTGCTGAAGACACAGCTGATAAAATGTCAGGCAGGGACTCCTGCATGCCATGGCCAGGCAGAAACTGGAGTGAGACACACACCCCATCAGCTAGAATCTGGACAGGTGAGAGACTGAGACCTCAGAAAGTTGAGAGATGAAGAATATGCCAAGATTGCATTGTCCTTCTGTCTCATCAGAGCAACCGGTTCTGAATTTGGCCACCAAACTTTGTCTCCTCAGTCATTTTGTTCATGTTGACTTGTTTTCCATGACTTGCCCACTGTCCAACTCCTTGCTCACACAGACAAGTCCTACAAGACAGACTTTTGCTTTCCCTGACCCTAATCAGCAGAAATGCTCTGGCTATGAGTAAACCTTATTTTCACATACAGGAAATGCATCTCCCATATCCTTACAGCTGCCTGTGCATGCAGGACTTTTCCATTACAGGCAAGCAATTATTGCGAGAACAACTCAGTTGAGGAACAAATAACATGATGTGCACGCGTGATGTTGGTTTTGGCATTTGGTAACCAAGGAGAATTGTTAGCACAGTCTGTATGCATCGCATGCTTTCAGAGATGCTTTCGTGTGCCTGATCCTTCATACAAGCAAAGCACAGGACGGTGTAACCAGGCAGTACTTTAATTCCCAGGACCCAGACACATGTCTGAGCTCTTCTGAACCTTGTCTGGAATTCAAAAGCAAATCTAAATTGTAGCTTTTGCTCCTAAATTCCCACCAGGCCACAGTAAAACCCCAGATCTGAACAACATAAAACCTTAGAACATCCACATATACTTCATCTGTCCTGGCACTACAGAATCAGCACAACACGATTCACTGTATTTCTGAGTGAGACTTCAGAAGATTTGCTTGCATGTGGCACGAGAGGCTGGACTTCATCCCAGGCCTGCCCAAAACCAGGGGCAACAGGAGGGCTAAAGGACTCTCCTGAACAGACCTGCTTCCTTGCTGGTTCTGCCTGTGGCTTGAGGAGGAGGGGATCTGAGGATGGCCACAAGCTGCCGTCTGTGTCATTGAGCAGAGCACAGGGCTGCATGGCATAAAGCCTCCAGGAGCCACAGCAGCTCTTGAGTCAGACTAAACCTTCCCTGGGGACTGGGCTCACTGCCCTGCCTCCAGTAAGCTGAAGCCAGAGTGCAGTCCTGCAGCTTAAGAGATTCATCAGTGAACTAAGCAGAATCCAATTACTGTTGGATCTTATTGAGTTAAAGCAATCCCAAATGACCTGAAATTTTTCAAACATTGTTTTTTCATCCTTAATTTTCAGACAGATAACAAAATTAGAAAGATGATACAATATTTCAAGTGAAGAAAACCAGCAGACAGAACATACTAAAAACTTCTTTCCTCCTCTGCACCAGTGGAATTTGGCTCACTCTTGCAAATTGTGCAGAGACAACTAGATATGCAAACATGTACACTCAAAATTTGCATTTGCATTGCCATGCTTCTAGTCATAGCTATGGCAATGATGAATTCCGGTGACCAGTTAGATTTTGAGTTGGCTTGTTGTGCATAAAATCTGAGAAACTATCACAGAAAATGAAGTGTGCATTTTTGTGTATGTAGACACGGGCATGCACTTCCAAAAGTCTGTGTCTGTATGACCTGCGAGTGTCTGTATGTTTGACTACCTTGTAAGACTCTGTATGTCTCTGCTATCTACATCCATGCTTACTGTACCTACACACCTACAGTTTGAATTGCAGGAATATTTATGATTTTGTGAAGGCGCAGGGAAAGCATCGCTGGTGCAATCATTTTCCAGCATGCAAAATCTTCTATCTGCAATGGCAAACACAGTAGCCCACAGGCTGAGGCCACGAAAATTTAGTGTTTCTTGCAATTCCCATTAATTATTTTGCAGCCTTTTCTTTGAATATTTACTGTGAAGTCTAGGCACTATATCCGTATGTCCAGACACCACAAAAGATTTTTTTAAAATGCCCACAGTTTGGATATGTTTTACATTTCACTGAAGTCTAGAAATGCAGAGAGCTCGTGTTTAGATTTTATCAAGAAAAGAGATAGCAAATGTCAAACAAAGATAGTACCTGAAAGGAAATAAAACAAATAATTCAAAATACTTGTTTAAAAAGTTACAAAATATGACAGCATTAATGGCACTTAAAGCTATAAGCACTTAAAAGGTTACCACCATATTTTCCTCAACATCTTTTCCTAAATTTCTTTTTTCTTTTTTTCTTTTCTTCTGAGATTATGACTGCAGCTAAACCCAAACCCAGCAAAAGGGGCAGACACACCTGAGATTCTATGGTTGCCCTGGCCCTCATTTGAATAGCATATATGCTCTTACATCTATTTTTAAAAATTCAGATTCAGCTACAGAGAACAGCAGTTTGCTGACATGCAAAAGCTATAGCTTTCCTTCTGTCTTCATAGTTGTACAGCATTAAAATTGAAGGGGTTTTTTTCAGTGGTAGAAAGTGTGAATGAGAAATTCTTTTTAAAAAAAACAGTCGGCCCACTGTTTTATACACCTAGCCAAATATCATTAAATTAATGTTTCTCTTCTTTTAAACAACATAGCACAAGATGTTGCATTTTCTTCATATGCACTTTCTTGCTATGAGATTACATTGAATATTTCCCATACCAGAAAAAAAATCCATTTTTTTTTTTTCGGGTTTTTTTGTCACTGGTTAAGATAAATACCCACAGAGTTTTATTCTTTTTTTTTTTTTTTTTTTTTAATGAAAAGAGCAATCCAACCCTTAAATATGTCTGTGTTGATTTTTCAAACCAGCACCCAGCTGGTGGCTGTGTCCATGGACATTCTTTTGGAGTTTAGAAAGAAAATGCATCTGATTCAAAAATGGAAAAAAAAAATCTAGCTTGGATCACGTGCCAAAACGTAAACTAAGCCTTACTGAAAGTTTCTAGTTCACTCCAATCGTTTCTCCTATTTTTAATCACCAGGGGAAGGCTTTATGGATGCATACTCCATTACAAAGATACACTTTCTTTCATCCCTTTCAAAGGCTCTTCTTACATAGCTGCCCTTTGTCTAATATTATGCCATAGTAGGAGCACTCTGGTGATATTGCCATGGTTCAATCTCTTCCTCTGTGTCTTGCCCTGGTAATCTTATACAGGCTGAAATTTCCATGTTCGTAGCTTTCTGTTGCCATTCTGCAGTGCTGTGTTCCTGATTTGTTTTGGCAGAGCAAGCTTGAGTCTTTATGGCACAGTGAAATATTCTTCAATGCTATATAATTCAGACTGAATAAGGAGTCTGTATAAGGCACGTGTCTCAATATATATATGTATATAAAAACACTAACATTGTTAAGTCAAGCATCTTTTACATTTAATTTCTATCTTCAAGTAATGCTTTGTTTTCATGTTCCCTTTCTTTGGTTTCATTGGGGATCACTCCATTCTCCAGGTCTGAGTGCTGCTGGATGCAGTTGGTCAGGACTGCAGTGCTAGAAGAGTTCTCAGAATTACACATCTTCTCCATCTCCTCTTCCTTTTTTTCTTCATCCAAGGAGTAGTTTCGGAAGGTCTCATAAATTTTACGCACATCCTCGGGGATGGTCTTTTTGAGGTCTTTGTTTTTCCTCTTGGTCATCTTAGCAGACGATCCAAACTTGTTAATGATGTTGTCCTCGGATGCCCCCTGCCCATGCTTGTTGAGCTGATCTGACCCTTTAAGGCGCAGGTTGTTAGGCCTGTTGTTGATGCTTTCCTGAGATGAGGCCTTGAAGCGTCCTGTTTCCAAGGCAGTAAAGACAGAGCGCTTCTCTGGAGACAGCATGTCTAAGGAGTGGGCTCGCTGGTCCAGGCCCAGGCGCCTGCGCTCCATGCTCCGGATGGTTGCTGCTCGCTGAAGTTTGTCGTGGATCTCCACGCTGAGCCGCCTCCGTGTCTCTCTAAACTCAGCCGTCACGTTCGCTTTCCACTCAGCTGCATGGGCTTTTATTTCTCCAACCTTTACAACAACAAGAAAGAAAAATGAATTTAAAAAAGAAAAAGTAAAATGAAGCAACAGTCTTTCCTATAGAAGAATAGCACAAGCACTTTCTTGTCTGGCGTGGAATCAGAGACCAGTCCCAGCTCCAGTGCATCCATCTGGACCCAGTGGCTATACTAGGCAAGCCCAGCAGCAAAGTGTCTATACTGGGCAAGCTCTAAACACACCAACTGGTGACTAGCTAATGGCTTGTGTGGCATATAACTTGTCTGCCTGTTTCACATTTTGTCACCCCACATACTTTATAGCTGTATTACATGAAGGGAGGTGTTCATGCTAATCCCTCCTTGGTTAAGAACAAAATTCCTGACTTATAATGTCAGCACTGGATGGCCAGGAGTGAGCAAAATTAATCACATATAGTTATACCAATATGCTTCAGAACAGCACAACCACTAGTGTAGCAAAACAGTAATGTATTTTCCCATATTGTTCATGGATGGAGCTGTTCAGTCGCACTCAATGTTCTGTTCAGAGCCACAGAGCAATTAACGTTGGAAATACCTATTAGATGATTTCAAATGGACCTCTGACTGATCCAGTCTAAGGTTCATTCTCAGGGACAAAGGTAGCTGTCTTTAATGGAGGCTTCCATTGCGTAAGTATCCAAATACCACCCTCTCAAGCCAGCTGGAGGAGTTGTCAACACATATTCTGTGTGGGCACCACGAGCATGTCCTTAAATGTCTCACTGCTTTGCTCTGTTTTATTCCTTTGCACATGAGAGCAGAATAATGGTTAAGAATAAACCACCTACATGGCTGCTGTATTGAATAAATATTTCTTCCAGAATGAGAAAAAGAAGATAAATTACCAAGCAATATCTCAGTCAACAGAGGCCTTTTCCAAAGTTCAGCTAAAGGAGAACAGATTCAGGAGTACAACGTCTGCAGAAGCCCACCAAGGTCAAAGGTTTGCTTGGGCTGCTGTAGCCAGAACTGTTTCTGCATTCAGTGATCCACAAGGAAGTCATTGTGGTTCCTCAGGCCAGATGAGCAGGTGTCCATTTAGAACTGTTTACTTGTGGCAGCAGGCATCTCACATTCACCATGAGAGATCAGATTGCCACCTATAGGTGCCTGCTGATGATCAACCTGACAGCCAAACGCTCTGTGAAGCCCCCTTTATTCATGGAGATGCACAGGGTATGCACTGGGACTCAGGTAGCGCAGCAGGTAGCGCAGATGCCTTCATAAATGATAAATGAACAGCAATATCCCTCTGCCAAACTTTGTCTATGTCTGATCTTTAGCTAACCCTGCCAGGTTAGCTTTGCTAGTTAATGCAGGAGGAGATTGCCTTAAAAATCAAAATTATATTATTAATGTCCTCCACAATAGGCTTCAGCTCTAGAGGCATGGCAATTGCCTTCTATTTTCCACTCTTAATTGAGTGAAGTATTAGCAATACTGTCTTTGAATCACAGAGGGCATGTTCTGAGTGAATTTAATCATGTTCTCCCTGATGGTGACCACGCGGTTCCTTCAATTTTTTAATAATATGGTACTCAGTAAGGGGCCTGAATCTAAACTCTTATTGAGAACCATATTTCCTGACATAGGGAAAGGTGGGGAAATTCAATATAAAATCCTAGTTTAAAGGCAGATTCTTGTTTCATAATGAAGAGTGCCAACTAATGTCTTCAAAACCTATGCATCTCCAATTTTTAAAGAGAGAACACTGAAATTTTTATCATAATTTTGTAGCTAGTTTCAGAGTGAAGGGTGGCTTCTCTTAGTCCATAATTGCAATCCTACTGATGTGTTCTGTGTATTTGGTAGCACTGATAGAGGTATAACAACCCAGGCTGCTTCAATTGTGGTTTTTTTCCTCCCTTTGTGAAGGAGTTAAAGATCAGAGCTAAGTGGATACCAAAGGCAGCCAGTGGAATAAACCACAAGGAATATTGAACACTGGTCATGCAGAGGAGCATCCTTCTTTAGACAAGCAAGAATCGGGCACTTAAAGCTCTCTCATAAAATGACAAACCACTGAGAAATTACTAGTCATACCTCTTCTTTTGTCTTCTTGGACAGGACTCTTAACCAGTCTCCAATCATACTCAGGACAGCAGCAAAATAGGCAAGGCCAACAAGGATCCAGAACCACACTAAGGGTTTATACCACTCCCGGTAATGGATGTCAGCATTTCCTCCTGAAATAAGCATATACTTATGCTTAGGAATCATGAGATGCCAAAATTATGACAAAATATCTGCAATTCTGATAAATTTCTGAAATTCTTTCTTGACTTTTGCCAACACCACTGTAGTTCTAATAATAGATGAGAGGCCTGTCAGATGGGAGGAACACAGTCTGTTCTTAATACAAGACTCTTTAAAATTACCTATTGTTCTGCTGCTATGTGACCTGCCAGAACACCTAGTAAGCACTTTTCTTTATATTGCTCATAGTCTGAAGCAGGTCTGAAATACCTGCTTCAATAGTACTTGCAACAGCATGAACACATTTCCGAGAAAAAAGTTTAATACCACTAGTCTTCCTTATTCTGAACTGCCTGCAGCCTGGTAGTCGAGAAACTTTACAGTTCAACTCCCTTAGGTTATAGTTTCCAGATTCTTTTGGGTTTAACTACAGGATTCAGAGACCTATGTGAAGGAGAAAGAAAAGTAGCTTTGTCTTCCCCTCCAGATTAGGATGTCTGACAGGAAGCCAACCCTGCCATCAGCCCTGCTAATAAGGATATACTGTCTGCTTGGGTATCAGTTATAGGGATGCATTCTCTGGCCAATGACTTGAGAGGAGGTAAGGATCAAATAAAGCAACAAATATCCTATATTGTTTTCATGCAAGTTTTAGAACGTGCTGGTAAAACAAGTATGTGAGACACTTGGCAACTCAGGTGGACTACGAAGAGCCTAAAATAAATGCAGTAGCAGCCAGGCTGCTACCTGCCACAGAATACAATAAACTTTTCCAAAAGAAAGCAAGCACAACCTCACTGTTGAGACTCCCATGTGCACTGCAATAAGGAGAAACAGTGAGAGGCAGGCACAGCCCTGAGCTGAAGAGAGAGTGGCAAAGAGGCTGCACAGCCACATCCCTCAATACAGGTGAAGAAACACTACCCTTGGTGGTACCTGTGTAAATCTCGGCCTAAAGAGCAAGCCTACCAGCAGACTCGGGCAGACGATTGCATATTTCCTGGATTCCAGTCTTGGTTAGACAAGAGCTAGACACCAATCTGTACTTCTGTATGACTACAGAGAGTTTTTAGGATTTTCCCCCATTAAAATCACAGGACAACACGGTTCAGCATTTACACCTGAGATT